AAACCAGGGAGCCGATTTAATGTCTTATCTCCGCTCATGCGTATATAGTTTGCTGTTGTAACGTAGTGTTGAACCGTAATTTAAGTTAGCGCGGGAAGAATACTGGTCAACGGGTCTTCTCGTGGTAAATGTAGATAATGCGTGACGTCAAAAGGAGTGAAACTGTTTTAAATTTTGAAATAATTCAATTTTGGATCAAGTTACGGCCAAAAACTGACTTTTGCGTAGCCCTATGGGAAAACGTTTCTTTGTGTTATTCGTGCCTAACAAAGCCTGGATGATTGCAATCGGCGCTCCGATATGTACATTGTTAGTTGCAACGTACTCGGCCCGGTGTTCCACGTTGATAACATCATATTGGAGGATGGTGGCCGGTCCTAGATAATTTAAAGCGCCAGACGTGCACTGTGATCTAGTTGCGTGAAGCTGGAACCTGCAACGTAAGAAAGTTAGCTTGTTTTGAACATAAGGGATCTTAAAGATACCTTCAGTGATACTCATTTGCTGCCATCGTTGATACCATGCCATCTCACATACGGGCGCAGACAGAGGGGAGGGGGAGCAGGTACAAGGGGCACGTGGCCCCTTCGTTCCCTCGTGATCCAGAGGGTTCTCGGGATTGACAATGAACGGCCCGATTACGGGGCTCAAGGGGCCGAAGGGCTGGTCTTGGTCTCCAGTCCGAACGACCGGGGCCCTCTGATGTCAACCAGAGGGCATCTGGCGATGAAAGGGGTCCCCGTGAAGAAGCTCCCCACTTCGGTCGAAATTACCAACAATTGGCCCTTTGTAGGACTGCGGCCCATTTTCCAAGCATGGTCAAGGTCTGAGCCCGGCGAATGACATTTCAGAAGACCTCGCAAGTCGCATTGGTCGGGGTTCCCTTGTCGGACAGGATATCCTCTGACCACAATGCATACATAATAGGAAATTCTGCACTGCTCGCGTCAGCCAGGGGCTCATTTGGCACCCATTACAGCCCGCCACAGGCCTTCTCTGTTGTTTCGGGCCCTTTGAGAACGACAGAAGATCGTTAGCAGTTAAAGGGTACATGCGTCAGTGAGACAATAGAAGGGCCGATTCTCACAGGAGGCCTCAGCAACGAACGGGAGCCCTATACTCCTCTTCAGCCAGTTGCTCGTCGAGTGGAGCTGAGCCCCTGTAAAATAGTTGAACCCTCTGTGCCCGTAAGGGATCTTTTTGCGTCAGTGAGAGCCAATGCCTCGATCCAGCAGCAGCTGCTCTGGTCAGAGGTCAGCCAGCGTCGGGGAGGGGATCGATTTACGAGATATGCCTTAATAGCCTCCGAATACACCAAGGACCCAATCTTCATTTCGTGAGATGGCAGCTGGTGGATACCTTGGGTTGAGATGGAAAGGTTTTTTAGCCACTTACCGGGAAAGGCAATGCCCCCTCCCGCTGGTGTGCCACCATCTACTAGCGCAGTAGTGTGCTATGCACCAGTACATCTACCATCCTAATGCACTACCTACGCCCTCCCCCGCCCTGCATATCCGAGGGTCTCTTAAGTTTTTTTTTTTTTTAAATCCATTGATGTTCTCTAAAAGTGCGAACGTTGACAGAACTGGATTATCAGGTCAAGAAAATTAGGTAAAGGCCGGTCAACTTTTGAGGACTTTCATCAGGAGTCTTTATTGTGCTGTGACCCTTCTTAGCTAACCAAAACCCTTCTCTTAGCCACATTATTATCCGACGCTTCCCTCTTTCCTCGACTTTTCCTCAAACCATTTCTTCTTTTTTAGACTTTCACGCAACCCAAAACTTCATTTTGTTCTCTAAAATTTCCCGAAAACTCGACATCTGTTTCCGTTATGCAGTTTTCGATGTCACCTTTTTCAGACATAACGTAGATGCACATCAAAGCACAATGCACCATGCACCACGGCATTTATTAGTAATGCAATGGTTCACACGGAATGTCACATGGCCCGTGCCGACAACAAAGTACACTTAAACGACCACACACAAGTTGCACTGAGCTGACTGTACACAGTCCACCACATTTCTCTGAACAGGAAACCTGCCATAAAACGTGACCTGGCGGGGGAGATCGCTATACCATGCCAAAGCTCCAGTATCGCACCTGAAACAAATAGGCGGTCCCATAGCACAGCTGATGTTCTCCGACCGTTTTTTATGCACAGCAACAGAGCCAGTGCCGTTACAATGACTTGGGTGCAGACCATCAACGCTGGATACTCAGCGGAGTGTCCCAATTTATGATCAGTTAGTTTTCCGAAGGAGGCGCCACCTGCTACATCTCGTCCCGCTGTGCGTGTGGAGAGCCCGAACCAGACCTTGGAATTTGCAGACCGTAAGAATTCTAACATTTGTCAAGTTGTGATTTCGCAGGATTTACGCAGCCCTTAGTCGTGATACCACGAAGGTGACGATGATGCGCCGAACACGATGAAACTACGTGGGAGCTGATGCCATTGTGCTGTTACTGAGGACGCCGCGCCGGATTTGTGGACACGGCAACAGAGCCGGCCACGACGGAGCCCATGAACGGAGGAGCTCGTGCACCTGAAAAACGTTCAAATGCATCTTAAATTATAAGAGTGAAAACAGGAAGCCGTAACAGAACGGCACACCCGGCAGACAAAGCCATGGTGAACTTGGGCTCCCCTTAAGTTGAACCTGGGAAACTCCTTCCACTGTCTACACCACAAATCATTTTACATCTTAAAATGATTTTCAAACGAATGGCTTGCCCCGTCCATGACATTCGATGGAAAAGGTTTTGACAACCCGCAGTTTTTCCTCACTTTGCCAACCGTGACAACATTGGGATAAGACAACGTGCTGCTAAAGCCATGGTAGCCTTGTAACGTGGTCACAAACATAAAATTCTCGACCATAGTTTGACTCGTCCTTCAGCCAGGGCCGTTCAGACCACACGAGACTACCTACATTAGGTTACCATCGGACGTCACGTGAGGTGAAACTTATGTGACTGGAGAAGAGGAACACGTGTATCGTGCACGAACACCATTGCATCAGATCAGCTGACCTGACATGACTTGACCTTAGCCTAAGCTGACTTGATCTTAGTCTGAACTGCTACCGCCTCCGTGGTATAGAGGAAAGATGCCGGACTCAAAATCCAGCGGCACTGGGACGAGTCTCAAAGTGGGCGCATTGTTTGACCCGACTAAAATGGAAAAGTCAGCTGGCAACTGGCCAACGAGCGTCAACCCAGACCCGTGGCGGCCGTGTCGCAGCATCGTGCGGCATATAAAACAACCCTCCGCATTCCTCTCTGGCGCACGGGCGGAGGCAAAATTGAGCGTTGAACTGGGTGGAACGATTTGGGTGGTGGGTTCCGGGTGGACGCAACAAGCTATGCTCAGCAAGTGCTATGAACCCAGTCACCCATGCAAACCATTTGGAATTAATTTGTAAAAACTGACACGACATAGCCTGAACTGGCATGACCTTAGCCTGAACTGACATGAGCTTAGCCTGAACTGACATGAACTTAGCCTAAACCGGCATGACCTTAGCCAGGCAGGCATGACCTTAGCCTGATCCAGGCGGGCAGGCAGGCAGGCTGGCAAGTCAGGCAGAGCCAGGCAGAGCCAGTCAGTCAGACAGGCAGAGTCTGAATATGTATATTTCATAGATATACGTACACACGTATACACAACCACACCCATATATATATATATAGACACCCTAGCCCCTACTACCCTACTCACCCCACACCCTACTCGCCCCGCAGGTTATATGCACTCTTCCGTAAATTGAGTGCAAAAAATTTCCATGCACGTTTCCAGGCACCTTCCCCATGGTCCCATTTGATCTGTCGTCAGCACGATTGTCAGTCGGAATGCATGACGTCATGCGTGCTGACGGAGTGTTCGATGTGTGGGCTGACGGGGAAGTTTCTTGACTTTACCTTTTCTTCTTGCCTTGAACTTTAAACTACTTCAGATCTCACGCTAACTCTTGCTTACCACCAACCATGACGCACTGCCTTTAAAAGGGCGCATAGAAGTGTGGCTCGCCCTCCGGTATTACATTCATCTATTCCACCCGTAAGTTGAGTGCTTCTTCACATTTCTATCTCATTTAAATTTTTCTGTCATTAGAAGTGCTCACACCACTTTCGGTGCAGAATGTCTATCGATCCTTGCCTGCTACTTGTACCGGCATGAAGCCCATTATCTCATTGAGCTTGCTTTGTATTGACAAAGGCCATGTCTGAAATGTGAAGTGAACTCAAATAGTCTGAACAGAAAGAGTTCCGGTTTCCTATTTTTTACGATTACCTTAACGCTATTAATTTACTGCAGAACGCAGCCACACACCACACCAACCTCTGCTGCTCACCCTTTCTTGGCTTCTGTTGCCAGCCAGAAATTCCCTTATTATCCATCCTTCGTCGCATTCCCGCAAATTAGAGACAAGTGCCCCACCCCACCTAACGTGGGGGTTCCAAATCAAATCCCCGCTTCTTCGACAGAATAATTTTGTAATCTGGTAGCGCTTTCTCTCCGTGCTGACGGGCCGACAAGTCCTGGCACTATCACCAGCCGGCGCGTGACGTCGCAAGCCACATAACTTTAAGTCGCGTACCGTGACGTAGGAAGAATACTGGGCTGTGTTTGGTGCTGTCAAATGTGCGGACGACAGTGAGCGCGGCCCGTACTCCCCACTGAGTACCAAAACATTTGACCAACTCTGCCGCCCTGCAAGAGCAACTTGCAATCTGTTGGATCCCAAAATGGCGACGAATTTATATTCCTGTCGAGCAAAATCAAAGTAATGGTCTTCTTCCACCTCTAACCAACCGCACTCCCGCTCCGGGCGTTCGGTTAGTGCATTGTACTATTTAGTATCAATTCGAATGAAACTTCGCAAAGTTAGAGCTTCTTATTACGTAAAACCTTTTCCCTCTTAATGCAATCTCGTACTAAATTTCTTCGAGGATGTGCTACCAGATCCTAGAATGATTCCACTTTTGGTTCGTATACAGAAGCAAGGGCAAAAGTCATATGCACTTTTGCACCAATGCTCACTTTTGGGGCAATAACACAGAGTGCTATAATTTCCAGAGCACTTTCATCCATATTTCCCTCGAGATGGCTGAGAAGCCGCCGAAAATTCAACAAGATGGTACAAAACCTACTCCTATGAAGCTTTTTGCAACATGGGAAGTGGAGCGAACAACCCCAGTATGTATTGCCAGACAATGCACACTGAAGCTAGCCCACTTGAAGGTGGTGCGATCAGTGAGTTCAGATCTTGGATCCATTTTGATTGCTGTCAAAATGCAGAGTGCCAAAAGGACTTTGAGATCCAATGAGATTCCATTACAGAGCAGTGGTCTCCTTGATACTGAACTGGAATTGACATTTTCTCTGCAGTATCCCCATTTTCTGAAGGGGGAAGGAAACAAGTTGCAGATAATGCTGCAAAGGCGTAAGCGCTACAAGAATCGCACCATTCTGGGTTTCAAGACCCTTGCTGTTGGTGTCATCAATATGTCACAGATTCTGCAGAGATCTGTTGATAAAGATTTAATGCTGTACTCAGACCCAAAAGAACGTCAAAATTTAGCAGCAGTGCTGAGTGTTGAATCCCTGGTCAGCCAGCCTGTAGATCAGGAGGACCTGCACATTGTGAAGAATATGGACCTGCATGACAGGTATGATTCAGAGGAAGATGAAGAGTACAGCACAAATGATGAATGTTCAGATTCAGAACATATTCAGGACAGCACTAGCAAGCCACAGTCATCAAAACACCTAGGTCCAAGCATCAGGCAAAGGAACTTGAAGCAAAAGTTCATGACCCTCTTAAAGAGGTTTAAGTTGTCTGAAGGTCTCCAAGAACTTGATCAGGACCAGGATATGGATCCCAAGTTTGATGGTGAAGTAGGTGAGCTAGATGATCTTCTCCAGGAGCTTGATGAGTATGGATCCGACTCAGAACCAGAGGTGGACACAATGAGTATCAATTCAACTCCAAAGCCATCCCTTCGTCCATTTTTCTCCTCTTCGCAGAATCTCCTTTGTGATCATTCTGTCCCCACCATCAGAAAAGAGCAAGGTCAACTGTGATGTGACAAAGGGGGTGTTATTTGTATGAATATGTCTATAGGCATAGTGCATAGGAATATTTTTGTACCTGTGTATGAAGGACTTGTTGGAGACCAATGATGGCTTGTGTGAGGTTGCGTTTGGTAAACAGTTTGTTGGTCACACCATGCTTCTAAGAGTGGAAAAGGAAGTGGGTAAGCATTGGTAGTTGCTGTACCCTTCATGTTGAGCTGTTGACCACAGCATCTTAATAAAGGATCTGGGAAAAAGCTTACTTTTTTGATAAATGATTTGGGAACAGATTGGTTGCAAAAACTGTTAAACTGCTATAGTCCATTTTGATACACTGGTATACTATACTGGTAATGCCCTCAGCATAGTTCAGAGAATGTTTCTTGAATCACCAGCTGCCAAGTTGTCAAAGCCTGATTGTAGAAACACCAAAGTGTGAGAAGACTAGGCAGCCATTTTGGTTGTTGTAACCTGTGCTGGTCGACAGTGGGGTGCATGCAGGGGCACACGGGACATATCTATGGCTCGCTCCCTCAGGTCCTGAGGCTGGAAGGGTACCTGAGCCACTCTGGACAGATGTTAAAGGAGCTGATAGCAGTGCATGAAGGGCTCATCCGAGGCTGTACAAATGAATCTTAACCAGCAGAGCGAGGTCCAAAACGCCAGTCATATCACCATGGTCATAACATCATAGTCATAATGTCTGGATTGGGCATCCCGGGGACAATGAAGGCCTCTATTACAGACCACCAATACGGAGCAGGTGACCTCATGTCAGTTCGGGCCCTTGGGGCCCATATTCCAATCAGGGATGGCGCTGGGGCGAGCCAGTGCCATGTAAAGGCTGCTTTATTGATCAAGGTCCCTGAAAGAATACGGAACCGCCGGTGTCGGTCAGGCGCAGTGGCGCAGCTGAGACGCTAGGTTTGAGTGCGGATTCACCACGACACTACTGAAATAATTCGGGAATCTGGTCATCAGGATAAGTAATTTAGCGTTATATGTCATAAGGTATTAGTATGAGTTTAAATGTCACCACCGCGGTCTGCGGCATGTAGAGCTCAGCAGTCGTAAATTAGTAACAAGACACGAACAAGTGGCAACATATCTTGTAAGAAGCACATATACGGTGCGCAGCAGTAGCACAGGCAGGGGGGGGGGGCATAGCGAGCTCGTGCCACCCCGCTTGGGTTGCGAGGCGCCTTTTGGACCCCTTGGAATCTACAATTAAGGGCCCGAAAAGCCACCCAGAGGTCTCAATGAGGGACCGCGACCGCAGGGTCGGGCGTTTAGATGGCAGCCAGAGGCTCTGCGCGCTGGTCGGGAACCCATGGAGTCAATAAAGGCATATATTTCGATCAGACGTCACCAGCACCGTACTAACGGCTCCGTGGCAGCATGGACCTAGGGGCCCATTTCCCAAGCAGGGACGAAGCCTGAGCCAGCAGTCTACATTGCTCGGGGCCCCACAGCGCCTAACAGGAGCCCTGTGTTGTTAAAGGGTCCCGAGTCGGCCAGAGGCAGTGTTCGAAGTGGCCCGAAGAGCTTAGAGGGCCCATCCGGTCCGATGATCAAAGGCCTGAAGGGAGGTTTTAAGGGCATAAAGGGCGGGTCAGAGTCCTATTTAGGGCAGCAGACCTGCGAAGACGGGTCCTCAAATAACGGTCAGAGGGCCCATTGCGCCGATCGAGGACCCCTTGAGTCGATATGGGCCTATGCGTCGGTCAGGAACCACTGTACCACATAGTCGGCTCCGTGTCGGTATGGGCCTGAGGACACACTTCCCAATCAGGTATAAAGCTGGGGTCAGTGGCTTACACTGGCTGGGGGCCTTGTATCTGTTGGGATCCGCAGCGCCTAACAGAGGGTCCTGTGCTCGCAAGGGCCCCGAGCCGACCAAGGGAAGCGTTTGACGAGGCCTGAAGGGGTAGGGGGGGGGGGGGGGGGGGGCGGCCCAACAGGACTGACTACCAAAAGCCTGGTTGAAGAGCACAAGGGCCCGAAGGACTGGCTGTAGGTCTTATCAAGAATCGCGGCCCGTAGGGTTGTGACTTGAAATATCAGCCCTCTTGCACCGTTTTAGAAACCCTTGAGACAACGCGGGTGTCTAAGTCGGTCAGAGGCCACGAACACCGAACCGTCGGCTCCATGTCTTTATGAGCTCTGGCGTCCCACTTTCCAAGCACAAAGGAGGCCGGGGCCTGCGATTTGCAATGTTCGGGTCCCTGGCGCAATGAGGGGCTCCTGTGTCGGTTAGGGGCCACAGTGCCGAACAGGAGCCTGTGGCGGCAAGCGGTCCTGAGTCGGAGCGGTGTTTGAGGGGGCCCGAAGAGGGGCCGAAGGATATCTCGAAACCAAAGATCAAGGGCCCGATAGAATGGCTGAAGGGTCCGAAAGGTTGGCTTTAGATAGCATTAAGGACCCCCGCCCAGAGGGCTGTGATCTCAAATGTCAGTAAGATAATCTCTTGCACCGCTAGGAACCCCTGAGGTAGAACGCTCCTCTATTTCGGCCAGGGATCACGAACAACGAACGATTAGCTCCTTGTTGGACTGAGCTCTGGGGGGCCCATTCCGCAGGCAGGAACAAGACTAGGCCCGCGATTTACATCTGTCGGGCTCCTGTATCGTTCAGGGGCCCACAGTGCCTGACGGGGTATTTTGGGTCAACAATGGGCCTCAAATCGACCGGGGGAAGTAATAGAAGGGTCCTGTGGCAGTCAGCGCCCCCACCACCGAACGATAGGCCCTCCAACCCCTTTTCAGCATGGCCCGATAAGCCCAACTGGGGCCTGTGTGCCAATTAGTTTATCACCTGCGGCAAGCAAAGATATTGTGGCGTTAACGTCGGTTCATGCTTCGATCCGGGGCCAGCTGGTTCATGCTTCGATCCGGGGCCAGCTGCGCGGGTCAGAAGGCCTCCTCGCGTCAGAGAGCGTACCAATGCGATGTAATGTAGCCCTCTAAGGGTCTCCGGATCGGCTAGGGGATGCCGCTACGTGTCGCCAGAATGACGGCTGGAAATCAAACCGCGGTGGGACGGAATGGCCCTTCAGCTCTTGACTAGGAACAATAATGTGCCCCGTGGTGTTGTACTCAAGGGGGCCTCTTGCCGGATATAAGGGTATCATTAGTGCTGAATGGAGTGGGTCGAAATGATTTCAACACGCACAAGGCCATCCCATGCGTCCCTGAGAACCTTCATCATTTTGCGGAGCCTACTAATGAAACAACTGCCATCTAAATGTTTGAGCCTGCGCATCGGGTGCTGATAGTGTAGTGGCTCACGCGCCTGCGTTAATCAATGCGCGCCGGGAAAACCACAAGTACAGGGTTGGATTCCCCGCGATGCCCGCACTTCCCGCCAGGGTGAGGGGCTGGCGGCGCCATGAGGCCCCAGGAGCTGAGTACGTCATAAAGCCCCAATGACACGGCCGTAATCCCGGGGAGCAAGGGTCGCGATGGATTGAGCCGCAGCTTTCGTAAAACCGAACGGCGTTGGCTCCTGCAAGCGGGCGGGCGACTTGTGCCGTGCAGCGGTGACCGCAGTAAGATCCTGTTTCTGCATGCTTTTGAAAATCGATTCAGCAACACGACAAAAAGAAAATGAACCTTATCTTTTCCAGCTCCACAAACGGATTTCAGCACCACTTCGCGGTTTTGTAAAGACCATTACGTTCTTGTTATCAATCTAAAAACCGCACAGGTGAAATGCTGTGTCTCGGCTATATTTGTACCTCGGCAATAGCTCGGAAAATCTCTAAACGTGTGATGTGGTATCCAGAAGCATTCACGGGTGCTTCTGTCAGATGCGTACTATTTTTGTCCAGCTCTTGGCTACGCCATAATATAACCTGCCGGGCCGACGCTGTGCGACGTAAGGAGACTGCAACGCCTGGTGTCGATTTGTCCACGATATGCGAGCGATCATGCTCAAAGCTACGTTACGTAATCTGTACGACTCATCACTTCTGACTGAACGTTGAAGGTATCCAAACATGGCCAGGCTACGTTGGTACAATTTGTTGACCCATTTTTGTATTTGTAATCATCCTTTGTGGAATCCTTGCTATTTCTGTTCAACACATAAAAATTCCGACAAGGTTTCTCAGCACTATCGTTTTAAAAAAGCCTAATATCTGACGCTTTTGGAGGGAAACCATTTTACCATGAGGAGGTCCTTTTTTAACTTTGTGCCTCCCAGGCCAGCCTCTGGCTGCGCCCCTGATGGCACACGTAGCATTACCTTTAGAACGTCAAGAGCTTAAAAACACCACACGAAAGTGTTTAAAGCGGTCCACACATGAAAGACGATGGTCGAGTATCACGCCCAGGAAGTGAAAGGTTTCCACCACTGGAACAACATTGCCATACAGTTAAACCTGCGGATCACTGCACGCTTTTCGGCGGCTGGGAGAGTGAGTGCATATTAGATGAAATTTAAAAACCGTTGAGCGTATTCTACCAGGCAATTTTATCGAGGCAAAGCTCAATCTGGCGGCTTGTTAACACTTACGTGGAAGTGGCGACCCAGACTGCAAAATCGTCGAGGAACGTAGATCGGCCGCGCAGGCGGGCAGTCTGTGACCGGTGTCGTTCACCATGATGGCAAATACGACCACGCCAACAATGTCACCCCGCGGGACGCCGTCTTTGGAGCAAATCGTTGTGAGCACGTATGACCCACTCGTTTTTTAAAAGAGCGGTCAGTTTTTTTTTACTCAAAGCCAGTTCATATGTCCACGTGCTCCACATTTAGGAAGTTTTGACGGAATGCCTCGAGGGCAAGTTGTGTCAAAAGCACCCTGAATGTAAAAAATCACTGCAAAAACATGTTGTTAATGTTTAATGGCTTCCCCGAACGGCGGTGCTCAAAATTATTAAATGGTCAGCCCTATGTTTTCTCCAAAAGCCACGTGGGCCTGGCAGCTGCCATTTTCTCAAAGATCTCGCATACGCGAGACGGGGGTGGGATAGGACTGTAATTTAAAGGCTCTGTGGCGTCCTGTGGTTTTAGAATTGGGATGACGATGGGCTCGCTTCACTGCTGCGAAAACGTATCAGTTACCCAAATGACACTGAAAGCCTGCAACGTGGATGCAAGCCATCGGGTTGTCATTTGTTCAAGCACATCACTTGCGACGTTGTCCGGGTCTGGCGCCACGCTCCTTGTATTAGCCATGGCAGCTGTGGGCTCCGCCATTGTAAAAACGGTGTTGTACGTCTCCTTGTCCGAGTTGAAGCCCACAGTCGCTCGCT